TGACGTGTTTATTACATGCGCGTGGAACGGAAGCACGTATGTGATTGATCATGAATTCAACGTAGTAAATTTTGAATCTGAGAGTAGAGTTTGTGCTTTTGCCGCTGGTTTGTGTTTTTTATTTTGATTTTTATTAGATATGAGAGAATCCCGGTAGTTTTTTTCCTTTGTAATCGATTCCAATTTTAATAGGAAAATATGCCATCACTCCTGGATACAGTGTGCCTTGCTATATGTACGTGGATTTTAAAGATAACATTTATGTATATTATAACATACAAATAGACACTAAACCAGTGATAAATTTTGGTGAAGTAATGCATGACAGACACATCAACAAGGTTTGTCTCTGTATTTGGAAATGCAAATGTCACGTAGTTTTAAGACGCATTTTCATTCTGTACGTGGATTTTAAAGATAACATTTATGTATATTATAACATACAAATAGACACTAAACCAGTGATAAATTTTGGTGAAGTAATGCATGACAGACACATCAACAAGGTTTGTCTCTGTATTTGGAAATGCAAATGTCACGTAGTTTTAAGACGCATTTTCATTCAAATAGTATGAAGCATTACTAAAATCTTATGATAAGGATTGCGAACAAGGTAATCCTTTAGTATTATTTGTTTTTCTTCATCAACAAACTTAAATGATTGTTATTGTCCTTATCAGAAATCAAAACGTTCTCGTCGAATAAATCATCACCTTATCAACCGATACCAAAGCTTACATCCTTCTTTAATCAATGCTTGTACAAATTGGATAACTATAGAAATTGAAGGCGAAAATGATGAAAGCAATTGAAGATGCGGTATGGGTATTATCAATGTGATTTGCTCGTCGTTTTAAATTTTTGGTTAACGATAGATAAATATAATGAATAGATCATGAGGAAAAAAGAACTAGAAGAAAAAGGATTAGCAGAAACTAATTGGAAAAAAGAGGAAGGGAAAAAGGAAGGGGAACCGGAAGAGACAGCAAAATTGCAAAAAAATGATAATAATAATAATAGCACACAAGAAGATAAAGAAAACTCCTCTTCTGTTGATGAGCTCTCTTACTATCCATAATGAAAATGACGAAGACAAAAATCTTGATAATAACTATGATCCCAATAATAACTATGTTGACAATAATGATGATGATGAGATAAAAATGTATAACAATGAGAA